GAAATTATGTAAAGTTGCTCTCCAAATTATGTACAGTACCCTCAAACACACAAGCCAAAGGAAAAACAGAAATACACAGACATGCACACACAGTGGATACAGGATATTCAATTACACAGAAGAAAATGACACCTTCTATAGCCACTGCAAGCAAAAGGGTTGGAAAGAAGTAAAGAAGCTGTGCTCTGCATATTTTCCCTAACTTGTTAATATTTTGTAAATTCTTGCATAAATATATTTAGAACAGTGCTAGCAGCTATTAACTTTTGCCCATATATGTAACCATAACTGACAATTGTTGGATAATGAAATACATTGCTATTATTTTAATTCTAAGGTACTCCGACAGCTAGATAGTTGTATTTTAATATATAAGTCCAAACTTTATTTTTGCCTCTCAGCTTTAAATAAAGAATGTAACATTAGAAGTTATTAAAAACACGGTTTTATATAAACCTATCTGGCTGTGTATATTCAAAACAGCATAGCATTTCTGTTACTCCAAACTTACCTTTTAAGGATACAAAAGAGCTGCTGAATCAGGAGACAGGGCCCTCTACTTTAACACCTCTTTATTCCAAAACAGGCAGTGGCTTTTCTAACATTTCTTCTCAGTGGTTCCCAACAGTCTTTCCATTTAGAATATCAAGGACTGACCTTGGGGCTTTATGTTATTCATAGCATGTGCTCTAGCAATGGGTTATGGTTCTCCTTCTTCTAAAAGAAAAAAGGGGCTAAAACCGTAACTGAATTGAAAGTCCCTGATCTAACTGTTGTGCCAAAGTTGAAGCTTTAATTTACTGAGCCTTCTTAAATTATTACTGTCTTTCACACACAATATCCAGGCTCTGCTTGTATTGTTTCTTGATCCCTGAAGAAGCATTTCACCCAATATGCATTTGCCTAAACATGAAATTCTGTGGAGGAGAGGCCCTCCTCAGCACCCCTAGGATTGAGAGAGATGCATGATGGGAGAGGGTTTCTGTACCATTTGAATACTATTGGCTTATTGGTACTGGGGAAGACCTAGTTTCTTACTCATGCATTTGGATCTTAAAAATCAGAACCTTGCTATGCTCCACTACCCATCATAACATTTGGTGATTGTCCACTCTTGTGTTATGGTCCCCGTTGTCTTAATATTTTAAATTATTATACATTTTATTGCATGTTGTTTTATCTTACATATTTTATGGTTTGCAGCCCACCAGGAGATCCTTAGCATAGTGGGCAGGCTATAAATATTTTATTAAATAAAAAATGGAATCTCCAATGTTCATAAATTCCCACTAAACAGACAAACAGTGACTGTCCCAATAGGGAATGAGAAAAATGCCTGCTCAAACATTAGATGAAAAATACCGTCATGCATTAGCTTAGTTAAGATAGTAGGAGAACTATGCCCAGTCATTGCAAAGTAAAACAAAATTTGGATTTTTCTTCTCAGTATAAAAAGCTAAGTTGTGTTAAATTCATATCCACTCACCTGCTGCATTGACATTTGCCTGGAATAATTCTGAGCCTTTACTAAGGCATCTACAGCTCTTTTAGCACGTTGCTGAGGGGCACCCTTGGGAAATGCTGGAAGTGTTGCAAGCACATTCTCCACAGTGAATTCCTGGCTCAAAGAATTTTCTAAAATGTCCTGAAAAATATTTGGAAAACTACTAAAAGGAGTGCTTTACCCGGCATTTTTTTTCTTTTAATGAGGATGGAAAAATAACATTTCACTGCCCTTATTGCCACAATGTAATCCTGAATAAGGGCTCCTATGTTCAATTAGATTTGCTCTTCATCTTCCTCCAAGGGTGTTCCAGGCATTTCTTCTGGTGCTTCATCACCCAGAGCTCCTTGGAAAAACAAGGTGCACCCCTATATCAGCACACAGGGAGAGGCCCAATAGTAGCCACGCAGTCCAAGGCCCTTACCATCTGCCCATTCCAGGCTGTGATAAAGATTCTCAGGGATAATCTCAAGATTCCTCTAGAACCCAGAAGGGCCCATAAGTCCCATGGGGTGGGCCAATCTAATAGGCCCTATCTCCCTGCAGAGCAGGGTGACACCGGCAAGCCAAAAGGCATTCAGAAAGTTATCTGACCATGGCAAGAGACAGACGGTAAAATTCTCTACTACCAGATCACATCATAACTGCTCTGAGACAAAAACCAGATCCAAAATGCAACTATTGGTATACATCAGTCCTTCATCTCCATGGTTGCCATGGTGGTTGTGAACTCCTGAGTTCCCCAGGACTCAACACTGTCTGGCAGCAAGTTGAAATTCCTGAGGACTAACAACCTTGGGGTCTCCAGAGCCAGCCAGCCAGCAATGGAATCCAGCAGGAAGGGCAGAGATGATACTGTGCAGTAGGGAGGGCAATACAACAGGACCAGTCCCAACTGTTTCTGTAATGGTATGTGGGAATGACCTTAGGAGACGAGGGGAAAAGATGCTGCCTAAGGAATGATCAGATAAAAGGGTGTCAGGGAAAAAACCTCATTAAACACGGGAGGCAGACACACCATAAAACAAATCACTTTGAAGTTCTAAAAGCTTTATTAAATGTTAGTTCAACAAGCAAGTAAAGTTCAGTCAAAAGCATACAAGGTACTTACTTAGATTCACATTGCAATGCCGACCAAGCAAGCGGTCAGGTAAGACAGCTTAGCCGTGTGGCAAAGACCCCCTCAGATGCAATCCTTTTTATCCTCAAAAACTACAAACCACAGACATGACTCCTAGGTTTAGCAACTGAACTTCCTTGGTGCTAATTTTACCATACTTTCCTGTTCTATTCGTCCCTGTCACATCTGTTCCCATCAACAAGTTTGCTTAGTCTTGCAAGTTTACTTATTTCCTATCATTGCCCTACATTACCCTAAAGGCCATATTTTAGCAATCAAAACTAACATTAAAACATATAGAAGGCTACTAATAATTTTCCTCTCACAAGGGGGAGGAGCTCACAGTTTAATAACAGGAAGAGAAAGAAACTTAGAAAGGATCCACTTTATCAGGCAGTAAAAAGAGATGGTGAGAGATTTGTACTTTCAGACTTGCAAGATTCTGTTAATGTAGCCATACAATAAAGTAGAATTAGCTCATCTTGTCATGTTCCCTGTCTGGTCTACATGGGAGGCTGACAGTTCCCTAGAGCCCAACCAAAGTGTCCCACATCCAGTTATCTGTAGCACAGAACCTTTGAAAGCCCTCAATGACTCATAAATGAAAATAGCCACCCCACTCCCTCTCCTCTGGGCTCTTGGCTAATGACAACCCTGAAACCTGGGCAGGCTGAGAGGGGAACTCCCTATTCTGGGCCTACCCAGGTTTTGGTTTAATGCCAGGTCAGACGCTGAGGATCTGGAAACCTGATAAAAAGGGTGAATACTGAGGGCTAGATGTCATGACCTCTCTCAAATAATGTCCCCAGTGGGAACCCACCATCAGATCCCCATTATACTTACCTATACCTGACTCAATCTCCAAGTTTATGCCTTCCCTTTCTCCTCCCTTAGTTCCCTCACACTCCTTGATCCCCTCCCAGGCCAACACACACATACTCTTCACTTACTTACCTCCCTCTCACACCACACCATACCCCCACACACCCTAGCTCCTCATAGCAACACCAAACACCTTAATAGGCCATTTCTGCCTCAGGCACTCAGCAACCTCTCTGGTATCCAGCTGCTACGGCAAGTTCTACTATACACCTCATGGACCCATAGCCCTCCCCCTTCGTGTCCAGATGGGCAATAAGATCACGATCATAAATAGCTGGCTGTATAACAGAGACTCCAGCCCCCAAGTCCAGGAGAGAGGTTCCAGTGGCCAGTGCTCAGAGCACAGCACAAGGGCAACAAACTGGAATCAGGCCAACCACCAGACAGAGTGAGCACCTCCCAGTTTAGCATTGTCTCCACTGCTCCTGCTTCCCTTCAACACTTCCTCAAGTTCCTCCTCCTGGGCTAAAAATAACCCAGAGGTCCAGGCCATCATCTTTGCCTGCCCAAGCCATTCCTCCTACTCTGAGCCTGGTGTAAAAATTAAGGAAGCAAAGGGCTTCTCAGTTTCCATTGTTGCTGAGAGCTGGAACATTCAACATGTTTTATGTTTTGTTCATCAGAACATGAAATGCTTGAGCCATTGTGAGTTTTTTCCCCATCAAATGACATCTCAATCAGAAAGTTTTCCAGTTTCACAACTTAGCAAGACTCTGGAACAAAGAAACAGGCCAAACATGAATCAGAAAATCTACTTAGGACTGCAGTTGCTCATACAGCCACAAATTAGTCTTCATCTGGGTTGCAAGGGGTCAGACAGCAGTAGCATCTGACTCAGTTTGAAAGTCTAAACACCAAAAAACAATCTGAATATAATGGTCAAGATCCAAGGGAGAGTCAGTCACAGTTGTCTAATCCAGTCTGGGGGTCAAAAATTCACAACACAGGGTAAGCACAACACAGAGCTTCAAGGTAGGCCATCATTGAATTTGTACATGTTTCTTGTTCTAAGCATGTTTGAATATGTTAAAGCTGAACAGCCATGATTTACTGCAGTCAGCAGAAGCAAATAGCCAACTTCCGTTAGGTGCCTTCATGTGCAACCACCCATGTCTTCACCTTGCTATTTTCTGGTTCCAATAGAAGAGAATATATGCAGCTCAGAGTTGAAAGACCAGAACACATCCTCTCCAGCAGCCAACACCCAGATAAGCAAGGATTAACACCAGACAAACAATCAAGCAGAAAAACCACACCCCCACCATAACTGGCACGGCAAGCTATTATATATAAACAGGGAGAAAACTCCACACTTACTGACACTGATGATATTACCTAGTTGGGAAATGAAACATCTGCAAGCAAACAACCAAGCTGAGAGACCACCAAGGAGTCCACCGTATTTTCTACTTGCTGGCATTCCCTAGGGCTGTGAATGGGGTCAGAGGGCTTGCCTTTATTTCCAAGTCAAAGCCTCTATTTCAAGGTCAGGAATGGTGGGACTTGAACCTGTTCTTTCTCCACTTATAGTAGGATTCCTTGGGGTCTGAGCTGATGAAGTTAATACATTCACTTTTGTAATTATGCATTTAAATAAGAACATTTTTAATAAAACATTAGGAAAGGGACAGAAACAAAAAAAATCTCTGCATGAAAGTTACTACAATGATAGTTGGCAGAAGAAAGGGTTTCCTGATTACAGGTGGTCCTCGCTTAACAACCACTTGTTCAGCAACCATTCAAACTTACAATGGTGCTGAACAAGGAGTACTTACAACCAGTCTTTGAAGTTCTGGCCATTGCAGAATCCCCACAGTCACATGATTGCGATCCATGCACTTGGCAACCAGCTTGCAATTATGACATTGCAGTGTCCCAGAGTCACACAATCACCATTTGCTACCTTCGCTGCCAGCTTCTGACAAGCAAAGTCAATGGGGAAGCCAGCAGGAGGTCGCAAATGGTGACCATGTGACGTCATGCTTAACGATGGCATGGGATTTGCTTAACGATGGCAACTGGAAGTGCTGGAACTGCTGTCACTAAGCATCATGATCACATGACATTGCGCTTTAAAACATCGCTTAGCAACAGAAATTTTGGGCCCAATTGCTATCGTTAACCGAGGACTACTTTTACTCTATAATGGAAGCCCAGCTCATGAGCAGCCCAGCTCTTCTTTCATCCCCTCCAGCAGGAAATATATGTGTGGGAATAAGGCTCCCATCTTGCAAAGGAGATGCAGGTACAGTTCTCTGAAGGAACCTACATGAACTTTCCTTTATCTCCAACAGTAAACAGAAGATACACAGGTTTCTTTCTGTTCTTTATTAAGGGGCAACAACAAACTTGTGAATGATTGAGAACAGAGGAAAAACAGTCAAGGAAATCACTAAAATTCCACAACTTATAATTCCATGACTTATCCTATGCCTCACAAGCATCCTAACCTCAAGAAATACTGTATAGACTCATGCAAGAATTTTAGATGCCAAAATACATCTACAAAATTAGATTCAGCTTATGTAGAAGTATATACGGTAATACTGTACTTTATAAAGGTTGGCATTTTTCATAGTATTTTGGTTAAAAATTCAAAGGTCAGCTAATCCACAGATGGGCTTATCCATGAGTATAGACGGTACCAATAATTGTGGTTGGCAATATAATTTAAAATAAAAAGAAGTAACAATATAGTTTCTACAAAATATATGTTACATAATTTTATAAATCAATACAAACATAAGCATTTCTCTTCAACACAATAAATAAAACATGAGAAAAAAGTGTTTGTGAAATCAATGCTAAAAATTCATTATACTACAATAGTGTTTTAACAGTTAGGAGGCTCAGTGCTCTACCTTCTCCCATCAACAAAGTTTTAACATTCAGAGCACTTTATAATATTTTACTTTACAAAAGTTAGTATTAACATTATTTTTAAAAGATAAAGCTTGGGGGCTGACAAATAATAGCCTGCTACTTGCTGCCAAAAATACCAATATATGAACAAAAACCTAGGCTTCCTACACTCAAGTCAACCTATTGAATTATGTTGGGCTATAATTACACTAGTCCCTATGAACAAGTTTTAATGTTTATGTTTCATTAAGGCATTAAAAACACTGGTTAAACCTGA